ATAGAAAGAATAATATTTATCTGTCTCACAGGGTTCAATTCACTGTTTCTAAAGGACTTTGAGATCCCTCAATGCAAGCACTATACTACCATAACATATCACTATTCTGGTAGTATTATTGAGTGGTTATAGTAGAGGACGGAGAGTTTGGATTCTTTGGTTCTATTCCTAATTATGCCTCTGGCTTGCTGCTGTGTAAGCTAAGCATGCTACCTAACTTAATTTTAGCATTTGTAAATAGAAATATTTTCCTACCATGCATGGACCTTCTGAGGATTATAGTGAAGTGCTTTTACTCCTCAATGGAAGTGCCACAAAATAACAGGCCACAAGGAGTGTAAATACAACAACAAGTCCTGAAGTACCTTAAAGACTGATTTGAGCATCAGATTTTGTGGGTCAGAACCACTTTTGTGGGTCAAAACTGTCATGCATCTGATGAAGTGGTTTTCACTCATGGAATCTTATGCCCAAATAAATCTGTTATTCTTTAAGGGCACGACTACACACCAGGCCTAAAGCCGAAATAAGCTACGCAACTTGAGCTACGTCAACTGCATAGCTTAAGTCGAAATAGCTTATTTCAACTTTTGGCTCTGTCTACACAGCAGGAAGTCTGAGTAAGAGCACTCTTCCTCTGACTTCACTTACACCTAGTAAAATGAGGATTACAGGAGTCGGAGTAAGAAGTCCTCCAGCTAGACATTATTTTGACATTATGGTGAAATAACTGCCTGTAGCGTAGAAGCAGACTATGTTATTTCAGAATAACATCAGTTATTCTGAAATAACACGGCTGTGTAGACATAGCCCAAGGTGCTACAAGGCTCCTTGTTTTTACAAAATAACCAATTATTGTTTATATGCAGATTACTATTTTTGTTCATTAAAATTTTATCTTTGAAATGTAGCAAAAGATAGCATTGCAGATGTGATTAGAAAGTGAAGCAGGTTCAATATCTCAGGTTTCTTGTTCTGGCAATGGAAATTCACAGTAATTTATGTTCATCTTCTGTATCAAAAACATACCTGAGTGGTAGTACCTTTTAATCAGGAACCATTATTGGAGAAGCTCAGAGTATTTAATTCAGGAATCCTGTGTGAAGTTAAGTTATTTGAGGACCCTCAGACTTATTTAATAGCAACAGAGTTTATGTAAAAATAAAACAATTCTTTTTTTAACAATGCAAAGGCAGAAATTATCAGAAGAGCTAAACTGAAATTTACCATTTTATAATTTAAATAAGATTGGAGGAAGCTAGGTAGTGAGTTATATAATGTTTCAACCAACCACATTTGTTATCTGTGGTACTTGAATGTGAGGAACAGTAATGACCTATTTCACTCTTCTCAGGAAATGGCAATTTTTCTGACAAGTAACGTGACAACTTAAAACAGATTTAAAGCTTTTCCTAAAATGAGACATTATCCTGTAAAACTGATAAAAACACCATGTAAATATTCAAGATTGTCAACTCCAAGTCTGTTAAACAATCAGAAGTCAGACCTAGAAATTACGAGATTTTAAAAGAATATTAAACATAGGTTATTTTTCTTTGCCTTCTGGTTTATGAGCCTCAAGGTTACATCTGGGTCAGGTTTTCAAGCTCTTCTCTGAAATCATGAGGGCTAGACACTTTCTTGTTCTCCCACTCCCAAAATGAAAGCTAAGAGTCTCACATAATCACTTGCCTTCCAGGAGCTGTGGCCTTAAGAAAAACACCAAATATAATGAACATAGTGATAAAGAAAATTACAAAAGTTGATGCTAATACGGCAAAAATCCAAAAGGTACAGCAGAGAACAAAAAAAAGTAACTGCCGGGCTGGAATTGGAACAGACTTCAACAGAGCTCAGTAAATCCAATACCCAATCCACCAAAACTCCAAATAGCATGCTAGCATGAAAAGTCTCTGTCCTCCTCCCCAGCCTCCACCTCACTAGATCTCATTGTAATGTTCACTCTTTGCTTGCAGCCGTGCTCAACTTTTTTCAACTCCCTCTTGAGCTGGCTTCCTTCCTACTCACGTCCATTTTACCTTGGCAGGTAACAGAAGGTGCCTTAATGTAGGCAAAATGCCAAGACCCTGCTCTTTCTCATGAGGGAAATTCTGTGTGGTCTGGAAATTTGAGCCAAATTTTGCTCTCAGTTATACTTGTGCAAATCCATTTGGCTTTTTGTTTTCTTACTATGTGTAGTGTCTAAGGACACTGTTTGGACTATAAATACATAAATAATATACAGCTATTCAAAACACGAACGAGATTGTTCCAACAAACTACTGCTAGTTGAAAAATATGAATACATTCCAATTGGTGACAGTAGGCCAGGGGGGAGGGTTTGGGGTAGGGAGACTACTTGCCCTGTCTGGTGGCCGGCAAGATGGCGGAGCCCCAGGCCTGTTGGCCACTCTCTTGGTGGTGCGGCTACTCCTAGTGATCTCTCCCCTCAGTATCAAGTCCCTCCTCTCTGTGCCCCTCCCTGTCCATGTTATGGAAAACAATCCCATTCTGTTGGCACAGCCAAACCCTAACCTTCCTTTAAGTTAGGATAAGAGGAAGCTGCCTACCACAATTTGGTGGTTCTAGCTCTTACCATTTAGGAGGAATTCTTGAACAAACAGATTCACAGATGGACAGACTGATACACATTCCTAAAATATATAGATAGATTTTTTAAATATTTTCTGTATTTTCAAATATATTGATTTCCATTACAACATAGAATACGAAATGTTCAGTGCTCATGTTATATTATTATTTTGGGTTACAGGTATTTGCACTATAAAAAAGATAAAGAAAATAATTTTTTATTTTTTCAAGCCCCTTGCAATCTTTTCATGGTGAAAGTGCCACTTAAAAATGTATATACTACTTTGTCACATAACTGTATTTAAAAACTAATCAATATAAAACTTCAGCTTCTACAAGTCCAGTCTTACTTCTTGTTCGGCCATTTACTCAGACAGACTTGCCCAGGCACTCATTAATGGATCTCAGAGTCATCCTATTGTTTCAGGCCAGTTCCACAAGCCTGCTTACACAGGGAAGTCTTAAAGCTTCATGTACAGATTTGATTCCTGTCAGAAAGGTATGAATAAATTGATTGCTGAATGGCCCACTACATTCCACATCCTAATGACATAAAAAACAAAACAATGGGTATTTAGAAACAATTTGTATCTTCTCTTTCAGCTTCATATAGTATGGACAGTGAGGATGGGAACAGCCTGAGTAAGAACTCCTCAGCTAATCCAATCACTCTGAGCTGTTAGCCTTGCCTCAAATTAGTACACTCAAGTTGCCACTTTCCAGTGAGAGGAACCACTCTTCAAAATAACACTTGAGTTACACAGAGCTATTGACTATTTGCAATAGTGCCATCTGGTGACTCCAACTACAGCAATGCATTAAAAACTACAGGGAAGTCTTAGAACTTAGCTTCATTTACAAATTTGATTCCTACCACAGAAGTATGAATGAAGAGTTAGCTGGATGGCCCGTGACATTCCACATCCTAATGACATAAAACAAACAAACAATGGGTACTTAAGAACAATTAGCAACTTCTCTCTCAGCTTCATGTAGCATGGACACTCTATTTCTTCCCCTTTTTTTCCATGTTCCCCATCCCCTATTTATTTAGAAACTGGTCCTTTAAGAAGTAGGTTGTGCCCAGCTCCTGATACCATCTGCATCTTTGGACAGTCTTTAAGGTGCTGCAAGACTATCGGTTGGTCCTTAAGTTTTCCCAGGTTGTTCACATTCAGGGGAGAGAGAGCTGCCTGCTTCTTGAAAAGCGAGAAGAGGCTTCCCCAGGGCACTTTTTGTGGATAGTGGTGCCAGGTGTTTTACATACCAGACCTGCTGCTGGTTCCTAGGCTGCTTCCTCTGCACAGCGCCAGTACCGAGGAGGGCAGGGGAAGCCCCCCCACAGCCAGTGTCAGTGAGAGCCTGGCTCGTGAGGGCGAAGAGCCGGTGTCAGTGTGGAAGGGGGAAGCCTGGCAGGCCACAGCGCAGAGCCAGTGTCGGGGGG